GCTGAATGGTTTGCCTCAAAACAAGGAAAGTGGGCGGGGGGGAAAATGGACACATATGTAATACCCTTTGTAATAAAAAATTAAAAACAAACAAACAAAACAAAAAAAAACAAGGAAAGTTCTACTGGGACGGTATCAACAAATTACCCGAAAGATGGGGGAAATGTGTAGCTAGCGATGGACATTACTTTGAATAAAGCACTTTTGATGTTTCTCTTGAAATTATCATGTTCTCTTTGATTACAAAATCCACATTATTAACCGGTACACTTGGTACAATACCTGTATGAAGCCAGCCCAAAATGTCCTTTATCTTAGGACCACATGAGAAAATGTTAAATAACTAATTTCAGTACTCGGGGACACATTATCTTTATAGTGCATTCCTGATTCTCCAGGCTAGGAATCTTCAAAAATGAATTGCCTTGCCCTAGCCTGTTCTCAGTGGTGAGAGCATTGGCCCACAGACTGAAGGGTTATGGATTCAATACCGGTCAAGGGCATGTACCTCGGTTGCAGGCTCGATCCCTGGCATCTGGTCAGAAAGATCAATGAACAAATGAACCCTAACTGTCCCTCCATCCAACCAGAAATTAATTTCATAACCCAATTCCCTGAGGTAGGAAAAATGCTCCAGGGAGAGGAATAGAAAAAGAATCCTGAACCAATTAACAGGACAAGAATTTGCCCAAAAGTTTCCCCACTCCCTCAAGAAAAGTTCCATACTATCCGTGATTATGCCCGTTTCGCAGTAGGGGTTATCATGAGAGTGAAAGGTCTCGCTAAGATTCCTTTCCATGTGCAGTCACTTCTATGCCTAGAACCCAGTTCCCAGACACTATCTCTGGCTGCCCTGTTGCTCTATCTTTCCAGAGAACTTTTGTCTATTACCCAGCTACCTGGCGACCAAGACCACTGTTCCCTACTCTCCAGTGGCTCCCATCTTGCTTAGAATAAAATGCACTCCAAAGCTCTTCCCATAGCTCTGAGGCCCTCTGGGCACTCACAGCTCAAGTTTATTTCATTTCATTACTACTCTCCACTTTCTTGGTCAACATCAACCAATAAAATACTGGTACACAGAACCCTAGGAAAAGGAACTAGTTATCAATCGAAAATTTTTTGTTTTTGTTTATTCTGCTTTGTTTTTTAAAGGTAAAGTCAGTCACAGCCTCAACCAAAAAGTAGCTTTCTCAAGAGACGTTAGAGTATAATGAAAATAAGCCAGGTTTGGAATCTAGTCCTACCATTTACTACCTGTGTGAATGTGGAGAAGTTATTTAACCTCTCTCAGCTCGTTTCCTCATGGTGATGATAACAGCACTCACCTCATAGGGACATAATGTATGTCAAATAGACTGGGCCTGGCATTTAATAAGTATTCAATAAATGGTAGCTGGGCCTATTAAAGACTGTCAACTTCATGCAAAGATTTTCCTCTGTTAGACTGGCTAGTTGATTAGATGAGAAATCCTGTGAAATACTTAGCATAGTATACGGTTCATAATGGTTATAAACAAATACTGACTTTCCTCGCTCTCTCATAATGGTGGAAAAATTGCAGACTTCATAAATTACCCAATTCTATCAGTGTGGCCAGGTTTCACTGCACAACCTACTTACCATTTAGGTAATTTAAGCTTTCAGTCAATGCTTCTGGCTGCTCCCCTCAATGGTTGTTGTCCTGGAAACAGTCACTCACTATCTTTCAATGGCAGTTGCCTCTTGACCTAGACAAAATAGAAACAGGAAGAAAGAGATAGGTAAAACAGGAATCACACCAAGACTGGGCAAGCTGAACCAAAGCCCTGTCCCAAAGACCATCATACACAGTGCAGTGTCAGAAAAGAGACAAGGCAGAATCTGACCCTGCTGACTCTGAAGAAAGCTGGCTATCTCTTTCCCGGGGGAGAGGCGGAGATGGCTCCAAGAGACTTCCCCTTTCCTATGATATAGTCTCAGAACAGACTACATTGTCTTTCCTTAAATTAACAGATCTATACATCCCTCAACAGTCTAAAAATTCCTATGACATCTTACAGCTGGGAAGGATCTCAGATATCAACTAGTTAAATGCCCTCATTTTTAAGAAAGGAACTGAAGCTTGGAAAGGGTGAATCACACAATTGCTTAGAACTAAAGTTGGGATTCTACTTAAAAATAAGAAAAGTGGGTAAGAAAAACAAACATCACTTCGCTATCTACCACACCTAAACCAACATGTTATATGTTTTATGTAAGACAATAACACAATAATGTTACCCTTATAGATAAAGAATCTAAATTTCAAGAGTCAAGTAACTTGTCCAAGGTCTTACAGCTTGCTAGTAACCAGGTAGTCAGAATTTAAACCTAAGTCTGTGTGACCTAAAAAGCCACTTCACCATTCTCATTGGGTTGCCTTCTAGACTGGGTTCTCAAAAGGGCCCCAAACAACCCAGAATCGATTAAAAACAGAGCTTCTCTGTCTGCAATCTTACCCTTCAGTTTTGTAATGAGACTTTTTTTTACATGAGAGCTGAAAAGTGTAATAAACCATTGAGTCTCACCGCTAATATAAGTGAGTGAAGATGGAAGATCTTCTGTCTATCCCAGTCTTGAGGAAGAATGGAAAGACAGCTATGCCAGTGACAAAACTAAAGTTTTTATACATGGTCTTACACTCAAACTATCCCCCTCTCCTTTCATCACAACTGCCCATCCCTCCCCTTCCATATCCTGTAGACCACCTTTGACCGCCTACCAAGGATGCTGGTCCCTTAAATCTGATTCCCACACTTCCACCACCAATACCATAACATACACACACAGAATGCGTCCCTGCTCTATCCCCCTAGAGAGCTGGAAGACTAGAATTAAGATGGAGAAATAATAAATGATAGTGTATGGCTTTTTTAAAAAGATGAGGAGGGCCTGAAGCTTCAAGCCAATATGACCTGAAAAGAAAGATTAATAAGCAATGAAAATAGATAGGAAAAAAATAGAAAAAGGGGTCTGTATCAGGGGCAGCACCCAAGGGATGGCCTGGGTGAGTGTGGGAGAAGCTTTAATTCTCTCTCTCCCACATATATACTTTTTAAAAGAATCAGTCTAAATAGAATTAAGTGTGATTACTATTCAAACAGCTTCAGAAGTGGCCCACAGACCTGTCCTGCCCTCACCCATCACCCCTTTCCCCCTCTCCACCAACCTTAAACGCACACACACATAATTTACTCGGCATTGACTATAACTTCTCCCACATACAAATTCTGAACTTTAAGAAGTGGCCAGATTTGTGTGTATCTTCACTAAGGTCTCTGCAGCCCTAACAGTGAAAAAGCAGCACCCCTACTGACAGCTACTGCCCCCACCACCTACTGCTAAATTTGCTGGCATATTACTAAGATCCAGGGGTCTATCCCACTCCAACAGGATAAAATGCATGCCAAAAACCAAACAGGAACTCTGGGTGATCCTAATTTGTTTTCAACGGTCTACATTCTCTCCTATTTCTCAGGGGCGGAAACAAGCAGCAAATGATTTCTCTCCTTTGCTTCTGAATGACTTTTACTTCTTGCATCCTCAGCGTGCTGGCCTTCTGTCCCCAGAAACAAGAGGATGACTGTAAACATCCTCAAACTCTTTAGAGCTGCCCCTTCAGAGAGCTTTCCATCCAGAGAGATCCACCCACATCACTTCCCTCAGGCAACTTCTCTGTGCTTGTTCCTGTTGGTGGTGAGAGTGGTGTGCATGTTTCTATCTGTGGAGAAGAGATGAAAGGACCCTCACAGATAAGGAGAGCTCAATGCCTCATTTTCCAGAGAAGAAAGTGAGTCCCAGAGAGGAAAAAAGACTTACTTGCCAAGGTTGCAAAGCAAGTTAAAGTGAATGTGATTGAGTCCACCTGAGATAATTAACAAACCACACTGAAGAAATGCATCAGTCCATCATTTGACTGCTGAAGATTAAAGCTTTCTTAAATACGTATCACTTTTGCTCCCAAAACACTTTGAGAATAGATAAAAATGCTAGTACAGAATTCTGCTTCCAATATTATCTTCCCACAGATAGCAACTATAAACTCTGGATAAAAAATTTTAAACAACTATCTGAAGTTCCAATTTAATAAAAACAAACCCTAGGTTGCTGGTTCAATCCCCAGTCGGGGCACATACAGGGGTCAACTGGTGAATGCATGAATAGGTGCAGCAACAGGTTGATGTTTCTCTCCCCCCTCCTCTTCCTCTCTTTCTAAAATCAATCAACAAATAAAATTTTAAGAAAAATAAAAACCTAGGCTGTCCAGAGGAACCAAAGATAGAGCCCAGAACAGACAGAGATGATAAGGGAGAGCCACAAAAGGAGAATCTAGGTTCTATGTATAAATTCTGCCCAAATTTGTAGCTGACCCCTGAATCATATATGCACAGGGCAGAATCCAAGGACCTCAGCAAAGGATAAAAGAACTAGACTGAGATTTGAACTGTCACCCCCCACACATAAGACAGGGTTTGCGATTATAACCAAGTTAACTGCCAACTAAAATCAACAGAAACCAGAGTCTCCATAACATAACATTCATATTCATTTATGTTCAGATAGAAACCCAAATTACATAAAGAACTAGCAATTAAACCCCTCTGCAGGAGAAAAGACAATCAGCAGAGGGCAAGTCCAAGATGACCCAGATGTTGGAATTATCAGACAAGGATACTAAAGCAACTATTATAACTCAGCAAAGAAATTTAAAAATTTTTAAAGTGGCAATTATAGAACAGAAATGCAGTACCTGAAATTTAAAAAATTCACTGAATGAGCTTAAGAACAGAATGTAATTGATAGAGAAAAGAGTCACTGAAACTTGAAGATGAATCAATAGATATTATCTGAACTGAAATAACTCTGGGTCACCTGCAGTCTCTAGAACCACCACCCTTAGGCCCTTCAGCTGAGTGTCCTCAATGATAACTTTACTTGCTGGTAACAGAAAATCTGATCTCAGAGAGAACCAGAATGACTAGGGATCACAGAGAAACCATTACCTGCAATTCTGTTAGACTGGCCACCCCTCATCTACTAATTAACCTCTTGAGGCATCCAGATGTAAGCACAGAACAAAGTGTAAAGGTGAAAAATGAGAGGGTAGGATAAAAGTTTAAATCCGAACTAATCATAATATCCGAAGTCCTAGAAATCAAATCTAGTGCCCACTGTCTATACTGAGAAGCAGGAAATAGTTGTTTTTTCCCCTATAATTGCTGAGGTAGCATCCTCAGGATTGTTCAGGAAAAAAGCCAGAGGGATTTTAAAGTTTTTTTTCTGCCCTATACTGTCTCTTCACCCAAAAGGCAGCCTGGTAAACAGGCTGATGGCAGGAAGGGGTGGGACCAAACAATCATTGGGTCTGGGCCTGAAGAGTGCAGCAACTTGGTGAGAGCCAACCAGGTCACCAAGTTGGAAAAGCAGATCATCTGAATGCCATCACTGACCAGCTTCCACACTCAAGTCACGTCAGGTTGGAGTTCAGAACACTCCAGGTAAAGGCGGAGGAAGAAACAAGCTGCAGAAGACGTCCATTTCTAGAAGCCCCATCTTTTTCTTATCTCCCACCTCCCACCCCACCTGCCCACAATGGAAGAGAATCCAGAGCAAGTGATCTTTTCTGACTAAAGTGGAGAAAAGAAGAGGTACCCCCGTAAGTGTAAAAAAAACTTGAACCAGGAGTTCTGCCACTAACATACTATCAGACCTCAGGAAAAGTCTTTTTTTTTTTTTTAATGCTCTCTGGGTCTCAGCTCAACTCCAGAGGTTCCCCCAGAGGAGTAAGGGGTCCCAGCCAAGGGTTCCAGTGCTGGGATGAGAAGTCCCCTTAACTTCTGGCTGTGAAAACCAGCAAAGACTGTGGCTGAGTAAGACGGATAGCTGCTGGAGTCCCAGGTGTTCCTCTTAAAGGGCCTGTGCGTGGACTTACTTGGACTCACTCTGAGCTCCAGCACTGGGGACAGCAGCTCCAAAGGTGCCAGGGACATATGGGGAGAAACTGAACTGTCTGGCTTTGAGACAAGGTCTGGAGGGGCAACTTTCTCCCAGACAGAAGTGTTGGCACAAGCCATTGTTCCTTTGCTGAGCCTCCACCCCAAGGAACTGGCAGGCAGGTGCCATATCTGAGTCTCCATGAACATGGCTAAACGCTCTTTGCCCTGCCCCGCCCCCTACTGATTTCCTGAGACCCCACCCAAACTCTATGAACCCAGAGACCTACACCAAGACACATCATAATTAAAATGGCAGAGGTTAAAGAGAGAACCATAAAAGCATCAAGAGAAAATCAGTTAGCTATCTACCAGGGAGTTCCATAAGACTGTCAGCTGATTTCTCAACAGAAATTTTGCAGACCAGAAGGGACTAGCACAAAATATTCAAAGTGATGCAAAGCAAGAACCCACGACCAAAAATACTCTACTCAGCAAAGCTACCATTGAGAATCAAAGGACACATAAAGAGCTTCCCAGACAAGAAAAAGCTAAAGGGGTTCACCACCACCAAGCCAGTATTACAAGAAATGTTACAGGGACTTAAGAAGAAAAAAGTAATAATAAAAATGAATAATAAAATGACAATAAACACATATCTATCAAAATTACTTTAAATGCAAATGGATTAAATGCTCCAATAGAAAGACAGAGGTGGCTGACCCTGGTCGGTGTGGCTCAGTTGGCTAGGCGTCGTCCCATGCACGAAAAGGTTG